TTGGGAGAGATTTGACATTTTTGGAGAGATTTCTCATACAAAGAGATATTTGAGAGAGATTTCACATACTTGGAGAGATTTGTGAGAGATTTGACATTCTTGGAGAGATTTCTCATACAAAGAGATATTTGAGAGAGATTTCACATACTTGGAGAGATTTGGGAGAGATTTGACATAGAGAGATAGAGTGAAAACGATTGAGAGAGGTTCCATGTGTGACAATTGTGAGTGTCCGGCTTCACAATGCAAGGTTTGTAAACCCTATTAAGCCTTGATTAAGGATCTTACACACTCCCGATGAGTATGCAACATTGTTTTATCGGTTTGGCTCGCCACGTACCACAGTTTTAGGTTAAGGAGATCTAGATGTTCGCACTTTTTGATTTATTATCTCTCATTAGAATAGGGAGTTGTTTAGTAAATACATAACATAATCCCTAAAACGCAAGGGTTAGCTGAGTTGACCGGTTTGACCTATTGACTTTATTTGACGTTGAATTGACCAGAATTTGACGGTTGTCAGACCCCAAACTCGTCGAGTATAAACGGATTTTTGGGATGCGGGACTTAAAGTCTACTCGACGAGTTGAGAAGCCTTAACTCGACGAGTAGGGCTGCTAGAGTGAAACCCTAGTTTTCAGGGTTTGCACCCTATTTAAGGACCTTAACACTCCATTGTTGCCTCCCTCGTCACCTCCCTCAGTCCAGCAAAACCCTAATTCGCGATCTTGAGCTTTTTGAGTGTGTGTGAGTGAAAGGAGAGTGATTCTTTAGTATTTCCTTGAAGGAGTGGAAGCTAGAAGTGTAACACCTAGATCCCTAGTACGTATTTAATCAATTTCATAAGGAAACTCGACGAGTTGGTAGCCACAAACTCGTCGAGTATAGATAGAGAGGGACGCGGGGTTTGAAGTCCGCTCGACGAGTTGGGAAGCTCCGACTCGGCGAGTCGGACTGCTAGAATGAAACTCTAATTTTAAGGGTTTGGCACCTTATTTAAAGAACATAACACCCCTTTGTGGCCTCCCTCATCATCTCCCATTGTCCAGAAAACCCTAATCAGTGAGCTTGAGCTTTGTGTGAGTTTGTGAACCATTTTTGAGTGATTTGGTGTGATTTGTAGCTTGTGAGAAGAAGAACAATAAGCTAGAGGACTCCAATAGAAGGTTGTAGATACAGAAGCAACATCACATTTCCTTCACTTTCTGGTAATCAAGTCTATGTTGGCCATTTGTTTTCTAGATCTTCTTATGGCCATTTGAACTCAAACTAAGGAATTGGTATGGAAATTTCAAAATAAAATCATTTTTATAAAAAGGACTTTGAGAAAAAGAAAAGAATTTTAGAAAAGCGAAAACAACTTTGAATAAGAGAAAAAAGGTGCGGTGCATGCAATCAGTCGAGCTCAAGTAAGTCTCCCAAACTATCCATACAAGTTATTTTCATATGATATGATTATGTGATCATCATGCTAGACTAGGGCTAAGGATATAGGAATTGATGCCATGTATGCTTGCTTTATGTGTATGAAAATTGCATGCTAGATTAAAGCTAAGGATCTAAGAAGGATGCCTTATATGTCTGCTATATGTGTTTGTTGAGTTGTATGTTAAGTATTGATTAGTCAGTGATATGATAACCTGATTAGGTTATGCTTAGTTATGGTTACTCAATGCTTGAATGTTGCTTGTTTTGTGCTTTTTAGGAGTTCTAGTTGTCCTTTGCTAACTAGTAAAACGAATACGTTAAGTTACATGTTGCGAGGACTAAATAATTTCAGAAGGTTAGGTCTAATGCTACTTTGCAGCTCTCGTTTGAGTCCAACCGTTGTAGGGTAGGATCTCTCATTCAAAGAATTATCTGGTTTAAGTAATATGTAACTATATTCACAAGCTAGTTAGGGAAGGGTAATAGGGACTTATTGTGCAGCTGATGGCGGAGAGTAGGTCGGAGATTACCCTAGGGCAAGCCTAGGATGAGATTAGCGCGTGAAGCAGTAGTAGTATAAGGGACTTGGTGGAGTCAAGGTAATTCTTGAGGAAAGTACGGATAGATGTGGAAGGTAGTATGGGCCCGTACTACTGAAAGCAAAGGATCCGTACTCGAATCAAGGAGGGATGAGATGAATCCGGGAAACTTGTAGTATGGTAGATCCCTTAAGTATGATGAGTTTCTGATGATTTTTATGGTGTATTTTAAGAATGGTGGTACTACATACTAGACCAGTCGGCAGTTCAGGCACCGGTGAGGGATCAGGCTCGGGCTCAGGAGTCGGGCAGCTAGACGACCAGACTAAGGAGCTCATCTCCTTTGAGATCACGTAGTATTCTGGATCAGACTCCTGTGATTTTTTGGAACGATCAAGGAGGGTATTTTAGAGCTTTTGTATGAGAGATTTAGTGCTTTCTGCACCGAGGTGGTGGCCATGATGGGGTCGCGTACACTGACTTTCAGGGAAGCTTGGGAGCTCCCGACTACCATGGGGCTCGGGACCCCATTGCGAGCACTAGATGGTTGGCTGATGTTGCCAACGCATTCCGCACCAGCAGATGTCCCGAGGGGACAAGGTCTGACTTGTGCCCTGTCTTCTGAAGGACATGGCACGTGATTGGTGGGAAGAGGTCGGATGAGCCATTAGGGATGATGTAGTTCTTAATGCGATGACCTGGAGTGATTTCACAGCCAGGTTCAGGGTCGAGTTTGCGCCTGTGATTGAGGTGCAACAGCTTGCTAGGGAGTTTTAGGATCTCCAGCAGACGATTAAGACGGTGACCGAGATCACCAATATGTTCAGGGAGTGAGCTCTTCTCGTTCCGCAGTACACGGCGTACGAAGAGATGAAAAAGGCCCGATATCATGAGATGTTGCGGAATGATATCCGCCAGTTTGTTAGCCGATCCAGCTGCAAGACGTTAGAAGACATGATTGCTAGAGCTCGAGAGAGGGAGTTGGTTTGAAGTTATGTTTTTAACAGGCCGGGACAAGAAAAGTCTGTTAAAAATTCATAACTTCGTCGTCTGACGTCCTTTTTCCTCTTTCTTTTTATCGTTGAGCTCCTATTAATGAGATATTCGATTCTCATTTAGGTTGTGTCGGCTAAAATCGCTCGAACTAAATTTTGAACTTCGGGCCGCACACTACTATGCCAAATCTTAGAAAATTCATAACTTCCTCATACGAAGTCAGATTTGGGCGTTCTTTTTATGCATGATATCGGTTTAACGTATATTACGACTTTTGTTTAGATCGCTAAGGCTAAAAAGCACTTTATCGCATACTTACTTTTTACGACACACAATGTCGTGCTGGTTTTGTTGCGAAACTTCGACAAGTCATAACTTCTTCATTATAACTCGGATTTCGGCGTTTTTTATATTTTCAGAATCCTTGTCACGACCACCAAAACTTTCTTCATAGGGTTTATATAATATTTTATTTTTGACGCTTATTTTTATTTTTAAATTATTATATTATTATAAACAAGTATAAAGCACATAAATTCACATAATTCACATAATACTCAAATAATTATTTTTTATTACTTCAAAATGAGTTATAATGGTTGACCTTGACTATTACATCATTATACTAATATGTAGCCTAGAAACATGGACGTTACACAAATACACCCAAAAATGGCTTCCTTTTGGCACTCCAAGCTCAAACTCACTTCCAATGACAATTAGGGTTTCTAGGGACGTTGAGAGGCAATGGAGGCTGATAGAAATGAGGTCCAAATGTCATAAAAGGGTTTAAATAGGACACAAGACCAACAGTTTAGGGTTTCCTATCCATACCATGTACGCCCCGCGTACGAGGCTCCGATGCTCGATGATGTGCGCCCTCGTACGCTAAGCGCACAAGCGTGTATGCCCAACGTACGAGGGGGAGGGTCCTCAGCCAAAAACTTTAAAATAAAAATATTAAAGGAAAATACCTTGATTTCGGATGTTACATGGTTGGCTGGTGGGATATAATGCTGACAGCTATCCACTTTGTCGGGTTCATGCTATTTTCTCATAACCTCTGGATAATTGTAACTTTCTCATAGGAGCCCCGTTTTCAACGTTCTTTGTATCTATGAGTTCGTAATTTCGTCTACTACAACTTTCATGTTGATCAATATTACTAAAACACAAATACATTTTTACTTTATATTTTTATAAATTAAAGCTTCTTCTTTATTAATTTTAAAGTGAAAACACAGTGTTGTGGAGAGAGATCAAAATTACACATTTACATCTGATTATATCCATATTCTTTCATCTTGAAGTTCCATTTGAGCTTGAATTTGATTTTGATGTTGTCATTTAAACATTGGTGGATAAATCTGCTTTTGAGGGGAAGGTGTAGATCCCATTTATTGATTGGTTTGATGCAGAATAATAATGATCATGAAGATAATCGTTTAACAATGATAAACAAGTGCGGAAACTGATAATCGATAGATAAAGAAATATCAAATGTTACATGAACAATACTCATGGTCAGGGAGAATTCCCAACCAAACTCTCTCCAATCTAATATCTACGTGGTTCACACATACAAATGACCACACACCTCAACTTTATATACAAATGAATGAAATATGTTTTTCATATAAAATAATTTTCTAACATAACAAATCATTCAACATTATTCTAGAATATTTCCTATTCCAACAAAACGAGGGTTAATATAATGGGGATGTTATTTTCCTGTTGGTGGAGAGATATAATCACCAAAAATACCATAAGGTAAAACGGTAATAACATACTTTACAACTAATTGCAATAAATATAAAATTATGTCCGGTATATTATATAAACGAACCAAAATTTCGTCAAAAATGTAAAAAACACTGTGATAAGACTTATTATGATGACATTATCCTATATTTTTATCTCCCTCTTTCTTTTTTTTTTTTTTTTTTTTTTTTTTTTTTTTTCACCTCAAGAAGGTTGGTAGCTTTGTTACCTATCATTTCGTTTCATTAATCAAAAGAGTGAAAGACTACTATACTTTTTTCCATGATGAACATGAATTTGTATAAAATATTAAGTAATTCTATATGATTTTGCCTAACGGATTAAAGACAGTCAAAACAAAAATTTCATGAAATTTGAATCAGGTTAGTTGTCCGAAGGGCGGTCGCCTTTTCTTCATATGAACCCTAATCCAAAAGCTCATGAGATTTGAATGAGTTAAGTAAAGTTGCCCTTAAATTTGTGAAAAGTGTGTTTCGAAGGGGATGAACAAACGATTAGTTGTAACAGCACTGGAAGGCGGTCGCCTCTTCCTCATTAAACCCTACATCCTATATACCCAGAACCCTAATTGATCCAATCCCAAAATTGCATCCAAGGTCTGTCATTCGATCAGATTAACTTTCAAAATGCCATACAATGAAGACGAATCCTCCGGCAGCGACTCCGATGCCGGATTTGACGAAGATATGGAAGCCCTAAGAAAGGCCTGCTCTGTCACAGGTGTCAACGATTCTGTCGACGACCCCCTCAAAGCATCCACCACCTGTAGCGATTCTGGTGACACCTATGCGTCTGAGGATGAAGACATAGAGTTACTGCGTAGCATTCAACAGCGTTTTTCTGTTCCAACCAACGATATTGGCAGTGAACAATATCCTATTTCTATGAAACCGTTAAGCATCATTATGCCCTCTGGTTTATCGGATGACAATGAGGATTATGGTGAAGATTTTGAAACTCTCCGTGCTATTCAACGGCGATTCTCGCAGTACCACGGTAAAAGTTTTGCGAATTTTCTTTTCTCTTCGTCTGCTTGAATCACTATTCTTTTACCAATTTTTTTTGTTGAATGTTATGTTCCATTGTCCCGATGCTTATCCTTTGTGAATAATCAAACGCATTCGTTTCTACCTGGGACTTAGGGGCCACCTCTGTTGGCCGGAAGGCCTAGTGGGGTTCTTTGCATGAACCCTGTGGACTAGTTGAGCCAAAGGTGCCAAATACTGCGCTTACTCAAGAATAAAAAAGCATTTGGGATCAGAATTTGAGGGAAAGGATAGAAACATCATCATCATCATCATTTTTGCATCAGTCTTTGTTCGTAAGTTATTGTTGCAATTAACATAGATGCATGTTGACAGAACATGCTTGCAATGCTTCCTGCCTGCTTCATTGTTGCCACTTACAGAAGCTGTTTTAGTTGGTTGTATCTGGTTTATTTTATACAACTAAAATTTGTTTATTGATTTTTGAACCAGATAGCAAGAACAACAAGAAGGAGAGTTCTGTACAGAGACCAGAGCAGGTTGGTGCAACTAACATAGAATTGGAAAAGGAATCTTCCCCTAATTTTTTTGTAAAGAGTATTAACAATGGACAAGGGTTTCCAGATTGTGTAGATGGAAGCAACACCAATCAGAATTTGGAATTATCCAGTAACATTACCCCTGAGACTCCCTATGCAAATAACAGTGAAGGGCATGAGCCTGGTTCTGAAATAATTCCAGCCCCGGATTGTGGTTTTCCAAGATCTGCACAGGCATTTGTTGAAGCCATCAAGAAGAACAGGATATGTCAGAAGTTTATACGTAATAAAATAGGACAGATTGAAGCAAGGTTGGAAGAAAATAAAAAACTGAGGGAGCGTGTTAAAATCCTAAAAGACTTTCAGGTGGCTTGTAGGAAAAAAACAGGCCGAGCATTGTCTCAGAAAAAGGATCCACGCATCCAGCTGATTTCAGTTCCAAAACAGAGATCCAATGCGGTTAGTCTCCATGCAAATGATCTTTATTCTCTCTGATACATCTTTTCTTTGTCTTTTATTGAAAATTTTGATGTGGTGACTCATTTGTTTAGAATCCAAGTTTGAGAGTTTAACTGTTTGATGGATAACAAGATTAGGGTCTAAAGAAACTATGCAGAATTCGGATTCAATCACATGATATCAAGTTAGGCATTGGTTATCATTAAGATTGTTACTAGTGAAATGAGGATTTACACTTATTTTGTTTGTTTATGCATCTCTCACACATTTGGTCTATAATATTATATGTTAGCTTTAATAGTTCCCCAAGTCTCCATTAGGAATTTTGCTTCTATTAGGGTGGTTTTGGTCTTTTTTGAACAAGTTATTGCTGGTGAGGGCATTTCATGTGGCTATTTAGTTGTTTTTAGTTATTAATGAGGTGGCTTTGTGCCTTTGTCTTTATGATTGAGCCTTTGTTTTTATGTAAGTGATGCACTAAAAAATCCTTAATCATTTAAATATTGAATGCTATTGAGTTTCCTATAAAATATGTCTTATGTAAACTCTAAACCCTAAAAATGCTCCCCTTTTTACTACTGGGTGTTTTTTGGTAGTCGATCAGTTTAGTTAATTACAAATGGCTTGGGATAAAGTGTTTGTATATATATATATATATATATATATATATATATATATATATTCATTGATGATAATAATCCGTGACTTGTACGATGTTTGTCATTTTAAATCTTTACACTTTGGGAATTACAGGCTAAGGATAAAGAAACACATGCAATTAATCAAGGCCCTGCTGAAAATTGCCATGTTGCAGATTATAGAGATGCAATGTCAAAATATCCATTCTCTTTGATTAGGGAACCTTGGTCAACAGAGGAGAATGAGAACCTTTTGAAGGGAATTAAACAGCAGTTTCAGGAAATGCTAACACAAAACCTTTTCAGGTATATTATTATGAGTTTGAAAAACGTTACTGAAGTTTGCAATTCCTGTTCTTACTTATAGCAACACACTTGTATTTAACTTAATAGCATTTGTACTTTTCAATTTATTGTTTATCACGACATTGTAGTATGAAAGATGTATCTTTTAATTAATAGTATATAGTATATGCATATGACAGTGGGGAAGATGTAGATTGCCATGATATGGACAACATGCTTACAGAAATCACACATCGTGAAATATCAGCAGAGGAAATCCGGTCATTCCTTCCCAAGGTCAATTGGGAACGCCTGGCTTCCATGTATGTCATAGCCCGCTCTGGTCCTGAATGTCAATCAAGGTATACATATACTGCTATTTCTATTAAGTTGCTATTTTAAAAATATATATTATTATAAAATGTGATTTGTGAATTGATGATGATTCAGATGGATGAATAGTGAAGATCCTTTAATAAACTGCGAGGCATGGAGTCTGACTGAAGATAAGAAGCTTTTGTATACTGTTCAGAATCGCGGGTTAAGTAACTGGATTGATATTGCTGATGCATTGGGGACAAATAGGACGCCTTTTCAATGCTTATCGCGTTTTCAGAGGAGTCTGAATGCATCTATCATAAAAAATGAATGGACTCCCCCTGAAGATGAGGAGCTTCGTAATGCTGTTGCTGAATATGGGGAGACCAATTGGCAGCTTGTTGCTTCAACACTTGAAGGAAGGACTGGTACCCAATGCTCGAATAGGTCAGTCAGTTACCAATTATTATTATTATTATTATTTTCTACTTTTTAGACGATATGCAGTGACTATTACAAAATGAGTATTTTATTCAATTTACTCTTTTGAAAACGACGTAGTTTTGAGAAAATGATTATTCTGTGTTGCGTTCAGGTGGAAGAAGTCATTGAACCCAATGAGGGAAAGAGTTGGGAAGTGGGCTCCGGATGAGGACAAACATCTCAAAATAGCTGTGAAGCTATTTGGGGCTAAAAACTGGAACAAAATTGCTAGATTTGTGCCTGGTAGGACACAAGTACAATGCAGAGAAAGGTATTATAATTTATAAATTATAATTAATATCTTATTTATCAGAGATATGTTTGGTTGATTTTTACATCTTGTTTGTGTGAGTGTGACAGATGGGTTAATTGCTTAGATCCTGCACTTAACATGAACGAGTGGACACCAGAGGAGGATTTAAAGTTGAAAAATGCAATTTCAGAACATGGATATCTCTGGTCTAAAGTAGCTGCATGTGTTCCTCCACGAACTGATAGTCAATGTCTCAGGTACTCTACTAGCTTTTTTAACAAATACCCAATATTTGCTTTTATTTATTATTCATTTTTTCCTTTTTGTGTGTGTGTGAATAGGAGATGGAAGGTGTTGCTTCCACATGAAGTTCCCATGCTACAAAGAGCCAGAAAGATGAAAAAGGCTGCTTTAATATCTAATTTTGTGGACCGGGAACATGCACGTCCAGCTCTTACTGTAAATGACTTTGTTGCCCCTCTACTACTTGAATCGCCCCCTGAACCTAATCAAGATCATATAACCTCAGACAATCAAAACCAAAGGTATGTTTTTTTTTTACTGTTTCTTTGTGTTCACATTTCAATATCCATGTGGGATCCAATACTCTGGTCCCATGAAAACTGCAAAAAACAACTTCCTTCTTCACAATTCTTTTGTAACATGCATTTGATTTTTCTTTTTCGTGGGAAAAACTTAAAGCTAACTTACTTGTCTCTTTCTCATAATCCTTTATAACATAGTGTTAAACTTGTACATATATTGTATTATTTAATACTAGTTAGAAGAAGTAATTTATTGGTGATAATGAAGTTTTGTGTGAAATTGCAGAGCTGTTCCAAGAATTAGATCTAGGAGGGCAAGAAAAGTAAATCCTACTGAAAAAGTATTGAAATTGATTGATGAAGATGAAGATGATGGTGACATGAAAGGCAATAATAATAGAATATCAAAGAGGAAGCAAAGTTTGTCAAAAAACAACCCAAACATCTCATCTCAAGAGAGCGAATTGTCGGATCTAAATGTTGATAGGGACAATTCTGAGATTAAAAAGTATGCCCGGAAGCGGAAACGAAGGTATGATTTCATTTAAAAAAAAAACTTGTTTTGATTACAACATCCTTAAACTTGCGTTTAAAGTTTTTTCTCATTAGAAATTGTAGTTTGATTTTTTTTTTGTAAATATGTATCGAGAGAGGGTAGTTTTCAATGTACAGTTACAGTAGAATAATGGTGTAATAGGAAGAAATGATGAAAGTATATGTATGTTAGGGTAAAAGTAAAGTGATTGACATTTCACATTGATTATGCATAGCTTATTATCGATTAATTAGGAGTTAAGAGAAGGTTATGTGATGCTGATTGGTTTTGGTTGCAGAGGCAAGAGAGAAGAGAAGGAGATGAATTTGAATATGAATATCTTAAATGATTCCCAGATGTGTAGAGAAACACCACCCATATATGAACCTGAAGCATCTCCAGACATGTGTATGACTGAAATCGAATCCCCAGAGGGTGAGGGTGAGGGTGCCATCACCACCATCACTGATAATGATAATGATACTGAAAACAACCAAAACCAACAGATGGGATTATCATTGGATCCAATCAATGGTGCAGGATCATCGCCATTTAAAACCAAAGCAGCCACCGGGAAACGCAAGCGGAAACCAAGGTATGTATGGTCGGTCAATATATATATATATATATATATATATATATATATATATATATATATATATATATATATATATATATATTTTTCCCAAATACTTGTTCTTATTCCTCATTCTTACATAGACTTAGAGACAAAGACTGTTTTTCTTTCTTTCACTCCCAACTTTTCACATTTTTCTTCTTTGTACACAATTGCTTTGATTCTATCTAATATGATCTTCATTGGTTGTGGTTTTGGTTGCAGAGGCAACAAAGAACATGAGGAGGATGGAACTTTCTTAAATCAAAAGAAGACCAAGAGAAGCCATCTGTCTCTTCCAACCGAAAACAAGTCAAACATCTCATCTGGAGAGATAATCAATGCTCAAGCTCACGAATCCCACACCTGGAAGCAAACACAAAGGTATGAAATGAATGAGTATGGTTTTCGTTTAAAAAACTTCTTCACTTCTTAAACTTTCATTTCATCTCATGAAGGAATGATGATATTGATACCCTAAGATGCTGTTTCTTTCCCACCTAACATAACTCTAATACTAACTGCTAAATATTTATCAACTTCATTTTGGAAAAAAGAAACATGCCGTAACTTCACTGTAATATCACAACTTAACTTCACATATATTTTTTCCTTGTGAATTCTGATTATTGAGTTGAGGATCCAATCCAACTGTTTGTGGTGTGCAGGAGGGGCAACAAGAAGAAAAACAAAAACAAACAACATGACAAGAGCGATGAAGCTTTTGAACCTCTTGTTGCTGCCATTTCAGATAAAAAAACCAAAACCACCAATCCCAATCCCAATTGTAATCGTGGGGATATATGTTCACCATCGTCTCCGACCGAAGCACCACCAGTACTACCCATCGAAAAGGCACCTTCCATTACAACACCTAGAAACTGTAAAACGCCATGTAAACAGGGAGGAGATGATGAAGAGACAATTGGTAGTTTTTTCAGTAGACTAAAGAGGAGAAGTTGTAGTAATATTGATGATGAGATTGGAGATGAAGAGACAATTGGTAGCTTTTTTGGTAAACTAAAGAAGAAGAAAAGGAAAACTTAAATGAAAATATTATTGTTGTTTTGATTTATCAGATCTTTGAAGGTCGAGTAGGGTGAGATGGGGTTTGATTTGGATGTTGCGAGAAAAGGTTTTGTTTAAAAGAATTTTGTATAATGAGTGATGAGTCCAAAGTTTGAGATGTGAGGACTGAGGAGGAATTGTCTATATCATATCGGGAGGGTTCGCTACTTTGTTTTCTTTACATTCAAAGTATATGTTTCAGTGAGTATATTATATAGGAAAGATGCCACAACTTTGAACATGTGTTGAGTTATATATATATATAATATATATATATATATATATATATATATATATATATATATATATATATATATATATATATATATATATATATATATATTATCTTAATTACCTTATAAAGCATTTTTGGTCAAATGCTGAATTTTAAGTCTGTACAAATATACAATGCATTTGTACAATCAATTTATGCATTACAAAAAGAGTTGAGTACATATGGTCAATAGTTGAAAATATCAAATCTCTTATCTCCTATTGTTAGACTATTTTGATCCGGTTCATTTCTTATTTCCGTATTTTCCCAAATCTCGTAATTTTTGTTCACAAATCTTGGATATATATCGCTGATGTTTTCATTTCTAGGGTTTAATTCATCTTTCAGCATTTAACCACCATTGTCACACTCGTCGTTTGACGTGGGTAAACGGCTAGTGTGTATATATATATATATATATATATATATATATATATATATATATATATATATATATATATATATATATATAAGTTTAGGTTATTTTGTTTTTACTAACTATTGTATGCTAGAATGCATAGATCTGGACCACCGGATGAAATTTAGATTCAAAAGGTCATGATCTTAAGGTTTATGATATTACAGTAGGGTAACATGAATCATATAATAATACAAATTTCAATATAAGAGTATTTTAGTCATTTAACCTATATTGAAAAAGAAAATTTTTAGCTTTTTAGGGATAATTAATTCCTTATTTGTTAAAATCTAAATATTTTAAATTAATTCAAATTTAAAAATTCGATTTTATGCTGTCAAAATGACAGAATGTCAACCATAAACTAGTAAATATATTTTTGATTTTATTCTTGCAGAATACGTTTTTAATGCAGTTATATATGATAATTGACCTGATTTAAGAATAAGATATTATTTATATACATCTATCTTGGGTTTGATTTTATTATTAATATACATCCAACTTGGGTATATGATTTTATACATTTTAATATCGTTATACACATTATAACAAAATATCATAAAAAATGAATAAAATTCTTAAACAATAGCATTCTTGAATATACAATTTTTGAACAAATACACTTGATCCTCTTCAATGGTCTATATAATCAACTTGATCTTCACATATATATACTTGTTGTTGAACCCGATCCCAAATATTTCTCTTGTATGATCAATATTGAATTCATTCTCCGTGCAATTCTGAAATAATAAGATACATTACTCGTTAGTATTACCAGTTAAACAAATATACTTGTTGTTAACAAACATTTTGAAAGACATTCTAACAGAATGCATTTATATAAATAAATTCTAACATAATACATTACAAAATGCACTTAAATCACTTTTTTTTTCTATATGCATAAACATTCTAAAACATGTATAAAGGTATTCTGTCAGAATTACTAACAACACATGTTTTATGTAATATTTATATTCTCATAGAATGAGCATGTGTTTGCATTCTGATATGAAAAAAAAATCTTCAACTTAACCCTTTTCATGCAAATTCTAATAGAATGTCAACTTAACCCTTTTCATCAAAGACAAATTTAGAACAATCAAGAATCAAGAACAAATGGAAAATCAATAACAATCTATCATTATTTAAATCAACTTGAATGATGAATATTTAAAATCAAAGAAGAATGAGAGCACAACGGGTATACTAGTGAAATCAGAATTCAACAGAAAGGATAATCGGAAATCAAAGAATCGAAAATCAGTGAATAAATCAAATGGAAAATCCATGTGAAGAATTGTAAATCAGTAGCATTCAGAAGAAGAATTGCAAGCAATCAAGAAGTAAGAGAATCGGAAATCAAGTATTACATGGAAAAAATCGCAAAACCTTTCACGGGACGGGAAAGATCGAGACATATCCATTAGCTATCCAGGGTTTACCCACTTACTATCTCATGCTGTAAGTGAAATAGCTTCAGAATATGACAACCAATAACAATGTTGATACCATATGAATAAAAGGAAAAAGAATCTAGAACCACCTTCTATCAGAGGGTTTTCGAACCCTATAAATTTCGTAGCTAGGGGATATTGTTTTGTCGCCAATCACTGTTAAAACCACTTGCTCTCCGATTCATAAAGCCGGTGGGTCGACGGTGGTGTGGGGTGGTGCTATTGCTCTGGTGGTGTCGATATAAGGAGAGAAGGGTTTTCGGGCCTATGAAGAGAGAACAAGATGATGATGGTTCTACACAATGATTATTAGAGAAAAAGAGAGAATCGGTGGTGGTGTTATAGGTTTGTGTAACTAATAACCTAAATTAATGGGATATTAATTGATTTTGTTTTCTTTTACCATAATTAATTATAATGTAGATTACTCTTATACCATTCTATTATTTATTATTGATTTAATTATTTCCTCAATTCTCATTGGTGTATACATGCACACACTAGTTGCTAGAAACATTTGAACCTAGCTCTCTCTCTCTCTCTCCATATATATATATATATATATATATATATATATATATATATATATATATATATTCCGTGAGTTTTTAAACCATTCTTTATCTAAATATCTAAATAAAGAACGAGTGAAATTTCAAACTCAAACACACCCAAACTAATATGTTTCTCATATGTAGACCTGACAAACGTCTCGTGATGTGTAGGGTTCATGTCGTGTCAAGACAACGGGTTGAAAGGGCTTGACCCTAACCCGATCCGTTTAATTATCGTGTCGTGTCATATCAACTCATTTATTTTCGTGTCGATTTTGTTTTGGGTTTCGGGTTAAGGTTTAGATCTTGTAAATATGTGTTATGTCATGTTGGTTTGAAACATTTTATAGGTTGGAAGTAGGAATTATGGAGGCAAAAAGGAAAAAGTGAAATACTAGAGTTAGGAGATGGAATGATAAAATTTATAGTAAGTTTAGAAAGCAAAATGAAAAGAGTTAAAGTTGGGGATCAAAGGGGATAGATGGTGAGGATGAGTAAAATTAAGTAATTTTGAAAATTTGAATATTATTTTTAATTCTTAAGTTTGGCCCACTACAAGTCTATAACATATACTATATTTATAAAAATATGAAATTTATAATAAATAATATATAATTAAATGTGTCATATTCGAGTTATCTTCGAGTTGAAAGTCTTGACCTCAACTCTACCCGTTTAATTATCGTGTCGTGTCAACCCGTTTACATAAAAGTATCGAAATCTCTTACCAAAACCTGCTAATTTTGTGTCGGGTTTTTGTGTTGTGTCATGTTTTGCCAGATCTACTCATATGACCCTTGGGTTGGGTTGACGTGTTTGGTTTGTCATTTTCTTTTCTATGTATTTGGGGACTTTTCACCAACCGGTCATATAGGTAATATGTGGATTGGAGGTAAGTCACTGTGTTTGATTGTTTTTGAAGAAATTAAACTCGAAATGAATCAAATTTTGAAATAGTTGGAATCTGTTACATTTATGGTTAGCGGGACCGGTTCAAATTTGATAATAAATGATGAATATTCATGTGTAAAAGTGGAGTTTTTATATTTATTTGTTTCAATAGAATGTAGTACATGTACATGTAATTTTCATAAAGATGGAGAATGGAATTGAATTGAGCCCATCCATCCCTAAAAAATGATTACAGAACTAAATAATTATCAATTTGACAACCAAATATGTCGTGATTGGATATTAAATTCCAATTCCGGTAGATTTTGTGGAGATACATCGATATGTCGACATCTTACTTGTGAATACTTTCTTCTTACTGCATGCTACACTAGATTGTTGGTAAAGTTATGTTGGAAAATTTTGTGTACTGTTTGTGAACATAATTGGAAGTTGCATGTTTTGCTATTTTGGCAAGTATACAAATTATTAAAAAACAATTGGCTTAGAGAAATTGTGCTTAGCATAAAATTTCATACCTCTACATCGCGCTTCTAGTACTCCGGCTAAATAGACCTAACAACCATAATACAATTTGTCCCGCAAAGAATCCAACCTTCCATTTATGACGGAACATGTTCATACGGGATACCATTTTATTATGTAGTTGATAAGTAATAACATTGATATTGGGGCCAGTTATAAAAATAATTACACTTTTTTTTTTTTGTAATGGAGTATGCATGGAAGTTGGAACTATTTATTCTAGCATTACATATCCGAAAAACTTCTCTTCAAATGTACTAAGTTATCGTTAATTTCTCAACATCAACTCCATTATAACTACAACCTTTATGTATTTACACGAGTCACCATAAGCCAAAAAAAGAGAGTAAATAAACTATAACCTAATATAACAAATTTCACTAAAACTTCAAGAAGAATCAACACTGGAACAAAAAAACATATCCCACTTAAAACCACTTCCCCTTTAAATGGTCTTACAGCTGGCTGCTGCTAGTCTAGTAGCATAGCATAGCCACTTTACAAAAGAAAAAAAAAAGTACATCTGCCAACAATGCAACATCAACCCAAATCAAACCATTAATGATCCTCTACCCTCACGTTGCAACAAAATCACGGGCAGTTCGGTCAAATTGCAAAAAGATCCACCCAATACCACTCAGTCAGATTCAGTCATACGCCTTCTCCCAGTCCTCCACCACCTCCAAGTTCTCCTCCTGTTTCCCCGCTGCTTCACCCTCTCCCTCACCCACCACAACTTTCCCAGACTCCTCCGCCAAACTGCCGCCACCTTCCGACTCCAAAACACTCCATCTATTCGCCGACGAAGTGATCGGTACCTCTTTCACCGCCGAACTGCCACCAGCCCACTCATCCGAAACACTCCATGAACTCTGCCCCCAATCTCCGGTGGTGGACGACTCCTGCACCACCGCTTTCTTCCATGGGTGCACATGGTCCTTAACTGTCGACCCACCACCACCACCACCACCCCAAACATTACCTCCACCATTTGACACGACACCAACCACCGCTGCACCGTAATAAACCGACCCATGATCCAAGCGCCGCATGGCGGTTGCCGCCCGAGCCGGGTCACTAAACACCGCCAATGCATTCTTATCATTCAACCACACCAATTCACATTCACCACCAAATCTCAAAACCAAAGCACTCACATCCGCATCACTAGGCAAATCAAACAAAGCCACAACCAACCTCGGGTCCATGTCCACCAACGGGTCGAACCCAAGCGGTTGCATCATGCCTGTTGGGTTCACCCCTTTGGCTCCAAGAATCCGAGCCGGGGGTTTAGACTTGGGTGTAGCATGAACCACAATGAAGCGTTTCGGTTCCCAACCGGCTGCACTTATCGACAGCTTCCACCTCTCTGCTATCAGCCTCACCGCGTCCCTCTTCTCTTTCAACATCGGACAAAACACATGGACTTTAAGAGCCGCCGCGGAGCCGCCACGGCTCCGCCCAAGAACCACCATCTTGCACCGTTCCTCCACCGCCAAAACCCATTTGGGATCACGCCTAAACAAGTCACCTACCATATCAGCAACAGCGGTATTCTCACCGAAATGAAGCGCGTCTAGATTCGGAGTGGTGACACCGAAAGCATCCGCAAGAACTTTCTTCCGTTCCATTTTCGAACATTCATCATCACAAACCAACTTCCGTTGTCCAAGCGGAATCTTTTTTCCGTTTGATTCCACCGGTTGAAGCGGGGCTGGTAATTTCTGGATTGTGGAAGCTTCTAGAACAGTGTCAGCATTGTAACCACTGTTGCTGCCGCCAGCATCACAAGGAACAGTGGCGGTGATCCGATTACAAGAGCATGAGATTGTGACAGGGAACTCGCATCTTACATCTGGACACTGGTTGAACGGGTGGCAAAGGGCGGTGCACGTGTGGCGGCAGTCTCTCCGGGGAGCACCGCATGTCTGACCACACGAAGCCTTCACGCCGGAAGTGGAACCACCGGAGGAATCACATGGAGACGGATGACATGTCCTTAAACAAGCATGCATCCCACATTGCCTTGTTTTCCCACAAATTTTATTACATCTGATATCTTTTGATCCACATGGGATGTTTCTTAAAACCACATGTCCACCTATGCATTCTTTAGGTATAGGAACAGAACATGGTGGGCAATCCCCAAAATGACAGCTGTGGGAAGAGACATGACCACATGGTTGAGGAACCGAACACGGGTATTGACAAGAAGGTGGCGGTGTACCACACGGGAGTGGTGGCGGGATTGAAGATCTTCCACACGCACAGGTTAAATCAGTGAAGATAGTCTCCGGGCAGGGCGGGCAGTGCCCGCTATGACATAAAGATTCACAATCATGCTGCCCGCATCTTAGTTTCTTCTCACACGGCTTTGAGCATATGTGTAGATCCCAATCCTCAAACCGATGCAAATTGTGGGAGTTTGAAAGCGGGCAGCATTTTTCACTGCAGCGGTGTCTACCACAGTTCTTTTTACGCCCACAAGGTTTATCGCATGTGAAAGTGTCCACTTCCATGGTGGTTTTGAAACATTCCACAGTTCTTGAAGTTGACCCACAACGACATTTTTGAGTAACCATTACCTGACATGGTGGACATGACTCCGGATGACATGTTTCTTTACATTGATGTAATCCACAAGGGAGGGTTTTGTCACATGTTTGTGAGCATGTAGGGATTGGGTCTAAACAAGTTTTTCTTTCCTCCTGTAAGCTTGATTTCCCACAGTAGCATGATGTCACCTTTCCAGGCAACAAATCACAGTCTCCACAAACACCAGGGTGACAAGTTTCTTTACAGAGATGATTACCACATCCGAGAGGCTTCCCACAAGTGGAAGAACATGAAAAGATACCATCTTGAACGTTTACTTCACCTTTCACAGACATGCCGCCACAAACAACCACCTCTGTGTTTTTCTTGCAGAAACAAGAGGCTTCGATTGGAACTTCACATGAATCACAAGGACCAACATGGCAGGTGTTTTCACAGCGGTGGCGGAGACACTTGCGGGGTTTACCACATCTTTGGCCACACGTGAGAACGGATTTCTGATCGGAGCATCTTGTGGTGATGGTTTTCTTCCCACATGGACATGGTCTTGGTGGGGCAAAAGCTTTACAAGGTGGACATGGTCCAGGGTGGCATTGGAGAACACACCTATGAGGACAAAGATCATCTCTACTAACACCAGGAATAACAACTTCTTTCTCAAGTGGTCTTCCACAAGGTTCACCACAAGAATGAGGGGTTAGATATGGATCGGAAGGTGGTTCCTGTCTTTTTCCACAGAAACAAACATACCGGATATCTTTTGAGGATGTGAGCTGAACTGATTGACATCCAGGGCATCGCCAATTGAATCCTTGATTTTTCTCTGCAGATAAGTCGATGGAAGTAGGTGCCCTAGCCCACTTCTTGATACAATGTAAATGGAAGATTGAAAAGCAGCTTGAACAGGACCAAACAGGGGCAGAACGCCTCACCATATCATAACATATCATGCATTCGATCGTACCTTTTAGAAGTTTGTCTTGAATTTCTTGAACAAGTTGAGGTAAAGCTCCTGTCGTGCCTTTTGAACCTCTCTCCTCGCGAGGAGCATCCTTTCTTCTATCTCTAGTCTGATTTACCCGAGGTATATGCTGCTGCTGCTGCTGCTGCCTTCTCTGTACCCCAACATTTCCTCTATTATGAGCGTTTTGAGGCGGTGGGCCTGGTCTAATATTAGGTTCCCCACCATTTGCATCTGGAATTGGAGCAACTGTTGACGAGGAATTAGCATCCACTGCAGTGGTTGTGATCGTGGCAGTGGATCCTCTGGGAATCCATTCTTGACGACGAGGAAACCTAGGTCTGTTATCTCTTCTATCACTTCGAACGTGAGAGCTCATATCCACCTATTAAGATTCGCTAGAGTTAGATTCAAACATGTTTATTTTCAATGTAGATGAGGTATAAATAAAACTAAAGCAAATCAAAGGCGGTTCAAATGAGTCGGTGAAATGAAAAAATGAAATAAAAAATTTGGAAATCTAAATTGAAAAACCTAATTTGAAAAACGATTGAACATGTCTAGCAAAGAAATGATAGAGCAGTTTACCTGATTGGAAGTCGGAGGCGGGTTTGAAAAAGAAATTGTCGAGATTGAATCGGCTATACAGATAAACAAATGAAGATCGATAGCCAAAATCCCAAATCTTATGAACCAAAGCTAACTTCACAAACTGATTTTCCTGATTGAAAACTTGAAAGGATAACAGGAATCGGCGATGGGAAAGAAAGTTTAGGAGGTTAAAATGGAAATCTGTTTAACCTACCGATGAGGTACGAATTGGAGCGGCGAGCGGAATTATAGGGGAGACCGACAAAGAGATCGTCGATTAACGCTTGGGGAGCAAGCGAAACGAAGGTTTCGATAGAATCGTGTAGCGATTGGCCACTTGGATTATGCGTGGTCACCACACAAACCAATTTCTCCTTCAATCTAATTTATAAATTGTTCTATCTATTTCAATTTCCAATAACAATATTTAAATTTATCATCGACTTCTATATTATATAATTAATTTACTTGCATAAGTCAAGTAGTTATATAAATTAGTTGCACTGCTGATGCATAATATAATATTGTAGCACCAAAGGGCTTGTAGCCCAGCGGTATCCGGTATTGCCCTTCCTATTTGAGGTTGAGGGTTCAAGTCCCGTCGTGAACATAGGTGGATTTAAGGTGTAGTTTAGGAGTAGGTTAGATTTACCGTTTCAAAGAAAAAAAATATAATATTGTAGCAGCCTCATGGTACACCGTTGGGATATTTTGGTTGCTAAGCAATAATCCCTATCGTAAAATCGTGTAGGGGGCGATTAAATGATTCTATCAAGAGTTTAAACTGTATTTTATGTTTAAAGAAAGGTAAACCATGCATTCTCCAAGGACCATGACATTTAGTTAAGATAATGTCTATCTATTGTATGGATGTAGGTAGGGGTGTGCGCGATGCGGTTTGGTGCAATTTGAAACCAAAACTGCAAACCGTACCGCATATGCGGTTTGAGTTATTTAAAAACCACAAACCGCACCGCGAACCTGCTAAACCACATTATACGGTGCGGTTTTGTGTTGGCAGTTTATACGGTTTACATTTGGTTTTGCGGTTTGACTAATTATTTACTTTAAATTTAATGAGAATACTATATTATCGTCACTAACGGCTCACTAAGTCGTAATTAAAATTTTTGGTTGTGATAGAATTATGGTCTTTAACTACTTATAAATATATAGAAGTTACGAAAACATAATGATGATTAAAATAATAGTCGCTAAATGTTAGTTGAAAATGGATTTGTGACAAAAACAAAAAATGGTCACTGCATTAAATTTTGGATTAATTAAATTTAAAGAAATTTTATTACATTTCAAAAACTTAAGATAATACCACTAATTTAGGATGAATTTAATTAATAAACGTTATACCTGTCAAAATATTTTCGTGTGTGTGTAATCGTAAACCACAAACCTCACTACATAATGCGGTTTAACAAAATATAAACCGCAAACCGCACCGCGAGTGTTTTAAACCGCGTTATGCGGTGCAGTTTGGTGTGGTGCGGGCGGTTTATGCGGTTTATTGCACACCTTTAGATGTAGGAATCAATATACGCTAATCATTCCAAAAACTTAAATAAAGATAAAATTGTAATCTTATCTATTATTTATTTATGATAAATTGTTAAATTAGTTATATCCCTTTAAATAGGAAAATCAATTTTAATCAAGCCTCATTCATCTTCACTAACCCGACACACCAACAATCAAAGAAGAAAACCAAGAGGGATGACCAACACCATCAGCCACCACCGAGCCACCTTCGTCATATTTCTGATTTGCCTTACTTGTAAATCTTTGCTACTCATATTCGTCTATACCCTCTCGTCTCTTCGGTCTTCTTTCTCAAGTACTCTGACCACCACATCCTTGTCGACCACCTTCTATCTCGGCATCTTCGACCACCAAAGGTTTGGCTTTTTTCTATTTGGGTGTTGTGGAACCCTAAATCAACGCCATCACCGGTCCAGTATAGTAAAACCTTCTCCTTCATCTTTCTTTATATTTTTTTGGTGAAATACCTAAACTTTTGATGTGCGTTTTATTTTTTGTGTGAAAAAGTTAGGTCCTTTTTTCATATATCATGTTCGATTATCTAGAAAGATTCAAGTTTTGTACCCTAGATATGTCAAAACTTTATCATTCTAGTCCTCGACTTGACGAAAACATTATTCTTCATCATTAAATAAGGCATTTAATGAATTTTTATATCATATTTTAATAGGGGTGTTTATTTGGCCAAATCCTCGAGTTTGCTGAAGTTGTAAGTTTCAATTTCCTAAATTTATGCCTTGCTTTCTTCTTTTTACCATTTCAGTGAAGGCCATCTACATGTTTGTTCCTTGATGAATGTTTGATTTTAATAAATCAATTTTTTAGTTTGAAGTGTTTTAGGGCATCGTAAACAATAGACATTATTTAATAGAGGTCGTTCATTTAAAAGTGATTTTTATGTTTTACTGTTCTTTTTTTTTTTTCATTCAATCACAATGAATGCTCTTTTTCATTGCAAACATACCATATTGAAGTAATAATGTATTCCTTTTTATCTAAGTTTGAAAGTAGGCTTGAAATTAGGGAGCCTTATATTATTATAATCGATGTTAGCTCATGCAGATATATATTTGCATATGTATACATGTTTTTTGTATATTAACATTCTTAAGAGATTAATGAATTATGAAAAAAATATATTTAATAATTGGATTTACCAATAATCCATAGATATAGTGTGACAACTGACAACTGTCAATTCTGGGTCAAATAAAATCAACAAGTTAACTAAGTTAATTAGATTAGTATTAGGATTTTAGGATAAAAGTTGTGTTTTCTAATGTTCCTAATGTACAACTTACATCTATTAATACCACCTAATGTACAACTTACATGTATTAATACCACCTATGAGTTCTAAAATCTTCATTATTTGCTTAATTAAGAACAACTACAATAAATCTGAATCAATTCCAGATTAATTCTGATTAATAATTAATTAATTCTTATTGATTTTACATTAATTTATCAATTATATCAATTAACAAATCAATTATTTAACTATTAATATCACAATAATTTTTGGAAAAAATACTAATCTAACCAAAATCCTTAATTACCTATCCAAAGTTAGCCAAAAAAAAACACATTAGCAAAACTAGCCCACAAAAGAGTACTTTGGACATGGTTGACTACGGTCAATGCTTGAAACCTACTATTTCGTGGCAATGAGCTACTGTTCACGACTCGATTACCTTTTCGTGGCCCATTAGCCCAAAATATATAATGTTTAATTTTTCAGATTAAGGTATTCTTCACTATTGTTTTGTTGGTTTACATACCTTTTTTTTTTTCTCAATGGAGCACCTGAAGAACAACGAAGTTTGTTTATTTTTCATCAAAATTTTACTGTATTCTTGATTAGGAGCAGTTTTTATATACACGGTTACATTCTTTTTTGAAAAAAACCAAAAAAAATAAAATAAAATTAAAACCATAGGTTTCATACAAAACCTACGGTGTATAAATGCTCAATGCACAAATTGTGCAATGTCGACTTGTACACATACAATTTCGTATGAACCGAACGATTTTTTTTAATTTGATGTAAACATATAAGGAATTGTATATAAGTTATTATTTCATGATTTTTTTTCATAAAACATAAAAAAAATTGTGAAACCGTAGGTTTTTTGGAAACCTACGGTGTACAACCATATATTGTCGATTCCGTGATTTTTTTTGGAAAAAAAATGAAACCGTAGGTTTGTATAAAACCGTAGGTTTCCTAAAACCTACGGTTTTTTATTTTAATTTTTTTTTTCAAAAAAAAAATAAATAATTAAATGGTTCTACGAAATTTAACGATTGTATATATGTTATGATTCCATGTTTCCATTTTGTGATAAAATATGTTATTTTCTATTTATCGATTATAGCATACAATAGCAATGTACTATCCATTTGAAGAATTTCTATGTTTATAATTGGTAGATACTTTGAAGTATAATGTATTGATAAAATAACATTTTGTTTTTGTAGTTTTGGGTTTGTGATAAAGCATGCTATTGTCACACCATTTTCAAAGTACAATGCTATATTTGGTGTACTATTAGTATAGAGAATAGAAAAAATGTTGTCAATTAATTTCCTTTGGTAATTTATACAAAGTAAATAAAATATATGAAATGATTAAGTGTTATATTGTGTGATTTCTCTACTTCTTTAACGTTGTTTTTATTTTATAAAACCTTATTTAACCTTAATGTTTATTTATTTTTCTAGCTTCCAAACAAAAGGATTGTAGGGAAGTATAGGGCTTGTGGTGGAGATTTGGATACCAACTTGGATCGTGATATCACTTTCTGAACTGATATTTCTACCCTATGTATGGGTTACAATAAATGTAGCCTAGGATAATCAAAGTGGATACTTATAATTCTAGGCACAGAAATCGTAAGCCAATATGCTAGAGGATTCCGTGAAAGTATGATGAAAACGAGAGCTTAAGATTGTGACCCTCTTCCGAAGAGGAAGAACTGTTTATATATTAAACGAGATTAGAGTTTCATTATGGTTGGGCCGTCATTAGTTGCTTTGGAAGCAAGTAATGTTAATCCGAATTTAATGAGGATTTAGGGTTACCAAAACTAACGAGTTTCGTTAGTTTTACCATAAAGTTTTGAGTGGCTTGAACGGACCAGTGCGAGATATTTTTTCAACAACTAGCTTCGGTTACTTGTTGGACCTACCGGCACAGTCCGGAGACAGACTTCTTATTCATGGGCTGTTACTGCATATGTTGGACCTTACTGCAGAAACGGACGCAACGTCTACATTTTAGGTTTTCTAGATGTACACTGTCATTTTTGGCCCAAGGAGTTTTGTATTGTGCCTTGACTTTGCATGGGCCGGTGTCCTAGATCACGGATCGAATTTTATGCTATGTATAAACACGGATATGGTGAAAAATACATTTCGGTCAAGAGTGTTCCCATATCGCACAGACACTAGTTTACTTGTAGAAGATTTAGAGCTCCTTATCATGAATCAACAGTTCAATGATGCTCACGACGGTGTCCGTGACATTTTGCTATATATTCTCAATCAAGGTTTTTTTTGGGAAAAGAGCCCAATGATAAAGTGATCAAGGAATTTTTGTAGGTGGTGGAGAACTTGGATCAATGGAATATGTATTTGTCAATTTAATATTTATAATAAAGGTTCTCTTGGTGGAGTTATCTATGATCTAAAGCATACCCTAGATCATCAGGTATGTTTAAAAAATTCGAGGATGATATGTGCAAGCATCCAACAAAGTCGTATGTGTATACACTATCAAGTTTTGTTATTCCTTTGAAGGTATATTTAAGTAACTAAAAAAATATATTTATAAATTTTTCGGTCTTTAATTTTTGATAATTTTAGTTAGTCCAACACTTATAAATTAATGTATATTTATTACAATATATGGATATGGGAGATGTTCCCAATAGTTCGGGGAAGTGCTGCGATATGACAGAATAACTTCTATCATCATATCTTGCGGTGGTTTCATATTAGGAGGTTATCTTGGAAGAAAGTTTGCGATGTTGACCAGGACGAGGCGAATCAAAAAAAAAAAAAATGATTGCCTCAGATGCCGAGTCCTCTACTGCACATTATTTGTCATATATTACTAGTTTGAAGTGTGAATCGTCTGAAGTTCCCTCTTCTGTACGCTACAACTTTAGAAAAGATGTAAGTAAAATGGTAAAAATAGAATCTACTATATTAATATTTTTCAACTATTATTTATATATCAAATAATTTATGTAGGGGCATCTTCGTCTGATCCATCGTGTGGAAACAACTAATCTACTATATTAATATTTTCAACTATTATTTATATATCAAATAATTTATGTAGGGGCATCCTCGTCTGATCCATCCTGTGGAAACAACTAATCTACCCAACCCACCGAAGGAACTCATACGATGAGAATTAACAAAAGAACCGCGCAAGAAATAATGGCAAGACTTCAATCTTTGGAGGAAGAAATCCGATGAATGAAAAATAAAAGGGGATTTCAAGATGATGATGACTTGGAAGAATTTTTTAACGAAGCTTTTGAGGTAAAATAATTAATTTTAGAAATTTACTATCATTTTGAAGAAATATGAAGTATAATGTCTTAATTATAGTATGATGTATTAATTATAGCAATGTACTATCCCTATGAAGAATTTTTCTTGTTTATAACTGATTGATACTTTGAAGTATAATGTTTTGATAAAATAACCTTGTGTTTTGGTAGTTTCGGCTTTGTCATAAAATATGTTATCGTCACCCGTTTTCAAAGTACAATGTTATATTTTGTATATTCTTTGTATAGAAAAAACAAAAAATTAGGTCAATTAATTGTTAAATTTGCTTTGTTTTTTTATTAATTATTTTTTCTTTAAATGTAGGGGAAGGAGAATGTGGACGCTACTTATCGGATGCGAAGCTTGGTGAGCCAACAATTCGGTAGTCCACGGAAATCAAATCGAGTAAATGAGGATGATGATGTGGATAATCCACCAGAGTTTGATTGTAGAAAAAAAAACAAATCGTGAAAGAGGTTATAATTTTTTTGTAAATTATTTTTTTATTTTTTCAAAGTATATTAAAAAAATTAATATTTTTTTTTTGTAGAAGAAGAAGAAAAAGAAGGTTGTTGATAGCGACATTGTGGATGCGGATAATCATATTCCCGGACCTCCTATTGCAAAACCAAGTCGTCCGGCTAGGTTATTGAAACTTTCATAATATCTTAGCTCTCCATATGTTTCGGTAAGTATGTTAAAAATTATATTTACTATAATTTTATTACTATATGGATAGTTACTGACTACGTATATAATGTAGGTTCAAAATGCCCTCTGATATCGTATAGGTGGGGTAATACACAACGAACCACCACCCCCCGTTTCTGTCAGTGTAACACCCGAAAAATACAACCAATTTAAAATTTTCAAAACAACCTGACTTTCATTAAAATGTTTACAAAAAGGTTTTCAATACAAGTCATTTGAGTATTCCCAGAATCACTTTGCTACAAAATCATGAGGAGCGGTACGATCGCGCCTTTGCCTTGCCACAGTCTCCTGAAGAACCTGAAAAACATTAAACCACAACTGTAAGCCCGAAAGCTTAGTGAGATACCCCCAAAATACCAACCACGCATACGCCCTTCCAGGCTACGACCTTCCGGTCCAAAACATATAAAACATACATAACATAACAACACATAAAACAGCCATGCATATCGGGTCTACCGTGTGACTGGTCCGCCGTATCGGGCCTTCAGTCCAACGGATCCATCCTCCAGGTCTAGTCATGTCCTTCGAGTCTACAGTGGGAATTGGTCCGCCCGCATCGGGCATTCAACCCACCTGGTCCACTCTCCGAGTCTACAGTGTGACTGGTCCGCCCGCATCGGGCCTTCAGTCGGCCTGGTCCACTCTCCGAGCCTCGGCACGTCTGGTCCGCCCTCGTGGGGCCTACAGCCTATCCGGACCGCTCGCTAGGCCTTTTGGAGCAACCGGTCCGCCCTGGGTATCTTGGCCTACAGCACAAAGCAGGACCCGCCTCAACCCATCTCCAGTCCAAACAACCATGTGCACAAAACATACATTCATATAACAGTCATAGTCAACAAACCGAACAAGCAGATCACATAGCATATCATTACCCTAACCGGGTTACCGACCTAACCGGTCACTAGCATAGCATCACTCTGTATAACGGGAAAACTGACCTTAACAAGGCCTCCTAGCATGAACCATCCTAGCTACCAGGATGCAGACACATCAAACAATAACATAATAACCATAACCGAATCTCAATACAATAAGGGCCGGCCTTGGTGCCTTAGACCCTGTTGATATAGTGAGGATAACTCACCTCGAAACTGCCGGCTGAAAAGATAAGATCCTGCTGCTCCGAACTCTGGCACGAACTCCTTCACTAAACATCAAAACATACAACTCCATAAATACTCTTAATTACCAAAATACCTCTGGAAGACAACTGGTCAACCTTTGACGAGTCAAAGTCAACCCCTGACTGACCCTACTCGCCGAGTCCTCATGCTCAGAACTTCCCTCAATTAGCGACCCAACTCGCCGAGTCACCCCAAGACTCGTCGAGTCCAACAACTCTGAGTCCACTCGCACCCAACTCATCGAGTCATCCCTTGACTCGCCGATTCATTGAATCAACCAAAAATATTGGGACTTCCTCGACAAGACTCGCCGAGTCCAAATGGACTCGTCGAGTCCAAGGCCATCTTCAACCTACTCGCCGAGTTGTTCTTCCAACTCGTCGAGTCCAGGCCATCTTCAAGCAACTCGTCGAGTCCACCCATGTGACTCGTCGAGTACCACCTATCTGAATCCATACAGAAGCATCTCAGGCCATGCAATTGATCCAAAACATAGATCCAACCTCCTACAATCCATCCATCACGTAAAGTGGCAAACTTTACGTGAATCTAACGAGATTTAAGCCATATTCACCTTAAAACCAAGGTTTGGGACATGGTGGCTCCACTAAGCACTCAAACACAGGAACTTTAATGCACTCTAGGCCTTCAATATTCCAGATCTGAGGTAGCAACCTCAGATCTAACCTCCAAACTCCAAAACATTGCAAGATATACTCCCCACAAACCCCAAAATGATGAAACTAGGAATGCACAGCCTAAGGACGAAGATATTACCTCCAAAGATGCCTCAATAGCAGCCAAACTCGAATCCAAGCAAAGCCCTTTGATCCAAGCCACTTCTCCTTCAAGATCTCTTCAACAACACCTCTCCAAGCTCTAATTTGCTCCACAAATGATCTCTCCACGAATACAGGGTTTCTGGAACTCAAGGGGGGAATAAGGGAGGCTGTGGAGGAGTATAATGCTCTTTATATAGGGCTCAACCCCGGAAATTAGGGTTTTCTCCATACAGCACCTACTCGCCGAGTCCATCCTATGGACTCGCCGAGTAGGCCACTAGACACGCGACCATGACCGCGACCTGACTCGCCGAGTCAGCCATGGACTCGCCGAGTCATCCTCTAAAACTTATACTTTTAGCCCTTCAACTCTACTCTTGCGATTTCGGGATGTTACAATTCTCCCCCACTTAAATTAGGCTTCGTCCTCGAAGCCTTCGGCATCTCATCTTCAATTTACTTCCCACGACGCACCACTTGACCTTGACCGAACCAAGTCCCTCAAGGTACAACCATAGAACCAGAAGCTCACTTTCTCCTTCCATACGGTGTCCCCACCACCTACTCAAACCGGGCACCAACTGTACCCTCCGATAACCACACCCAACAACCGAGAATTACCCATGATGCTTTACTGCTCCAATTCTCATCCTTCACTTGACTCATATAGCTATAATGCCTCGAACCATCGGATTCCCGATCCGAATTCCACTCTATCCATCCCATGACGACCGAAAGGCCCATTCTTCCATTTCGGAGCAACTCCCCCGAGTTCTCCTCTCGCAATCATACACACATGCTGGTCTTGCTCTAGCACCCTCAGTTTTGGAAAAAAAAACTGATACACTGATGATATCCTCGAACATCCTTCCAGGATGAACCGCTAAAGCGTAGCCAAAACCCTGATCAGAATCACACTGAGAGTCCAAGACTCTTTCTCTGTATCCCTTCCGAATCCCTCTCCCTGGCTCTACATCGCGGTATTCCCTCCGCGCCCAGAGCAACATATCAAGTCGAATGAGCTTTTATTCTACCGCCGCAACACGCTACTCAAAGACCATCGACGGATCACTCCAATCATAACTCTACACTGCCGCTTTCACTTCCGTGAATTCGCATTCCCTTTTTGGAATTCCATTCCTCCCTCTTTCCTTATCAAGGAAACCACTCGTCCGCCCAGTCACCATGACAGGCACCATGGTGCTCATCCCTCGCTACATTACCTCTTTAAAGCGTACCCATCATCCATGCATCACCACTACCCCGACTCTCATCACAGGGACTCTCAAGCCCATGCACTACCTTCACTGCTCACGATCGCTACCCGGGGCCAGACCTTCCAATGTAATCGCACTGCAACATACGCAACCCATAACCTTAATCCGATCCAACAATACTCGCAGAGTCTTCAGCATGACTGGACCGCCTCCCCAGGCCTTCAGCCATTCTGGACCACTCTCAGAACCTTCAGCCAATCTGACTGGACCGTCCTCCGAGCCTTCGGTCTGACTGGTACGCCTACCGGCTTACAGTCTATCCGGACCGCTCAACTAGCATTCATCACTCCGAACCATCCCTTCGGGAGATCCTCCCGCGTATCGTTCTAGCCCTTTAGGGGTTCCGAACTCTATCTCCATCATACATGCTCGATCCCGGCCTGCTCCCATGCCTTCCTCAATCAACTGCTCTAGGTCTGTATTCCGCCCCGCACACCTGTTACTCCCTCATACGAGCCTGCTCTCGACTAATAGAAATACCGCTGAGTTCCCCAAGCAGCTAGACAACCTCTCAGGCCCAACGATCATCCGGAGAATTTTCAATTCTCCCCCACTTAAGACACTGACAGTTAATCACTGGTTGTCATCACCGATCTCCCCAAGCAACCTTGCAGGAATCAATACATGCACTCAAAATGTTTTTCACCAGCACCAACAACTTTCATACAATCATGTTCCCATGCTGTACAACCTGCTCGAAAGGTACCCAATCTTCAACTATCAATTCCTCAGACTACAGAATCTAACTGGCCTTCAAACCAATGCTGCATCCGCCACCAATCCTCACAAAGATAATCGACGATAGCTCGAAGTACAAATCCATAACCATAACGATCCTTCAGGGAACAAAAGATACTAAAACGAAATCTCGATCACAACTCGCCAAACCCTCAAGGAACAATGGATACCACACGAAAACCCGAAACGCAATTCCACGAAACCCACAGATAACAATACTCCACAACAATCATAAATAATCAGAACATCAGAAAGAAACATACCCGCAGCAGCAAGCTGAAAAACACGACCCTAAGCCCTTGGGGGCTCAGCTCCACCCTGATCTCCACCTGTGATCCTCAACGTAGCCGGTGCTGGAGCCTGCACCGGTCCTGGAGCAAGCCGTGGACAGTTGACCTTCAAATGTCCAACCTGATGACAATGATAGCATATCCTCAAATCCCGAACCGGCACTGACTGCCGACAATCCCTCGCATAGTGTCCCTCCTTTCCGCACTTGCGGCACGCTCCACCGGACCGACAAACCCCGGCGTGACCCCTTCCACACTTTCCACAGACGTGGCTACCCTGATCTCCCATCCTGGAATCAACGGTCTTAGACCGTTTCGTCGCCGGCTGCGACTGAACTGGAGCTTGCCTCAGCTCACGCATTTGTAACTCAATCTCTAACTCACGCCGCCTGGCGGCCTCCTGCAACTCCAGCAAAGTCTCGCACCTCTGCGTAGACACAAACTGTCTGATGTCTCTCTTTAGCATGCTCAGATATCGGGACATCTGAGCCTGCTCCGAAGCGAACTCAGGGCAAAACATCGCCCTCTCAGTAAACATCCTGG